TGTGATTGATCAAGATTGACTTGGAGGTTTCCCCTTTTGGTTCGGATCTCAGTTCAGAAACTCTCTCTCTCCACAATAATGTTATATAGAGCTCAGTAAGTACAAGCCAAGCCCCAGATAAGCCGTTCCTCCTCAGATCTTTCTGAGCTGTGCCATCTCTTACCCAAATGCTCGCTCAGTTCCTCAGGGTCCCACAGATGTTCAAGAGTAAAATCCCATGATACCGGGGGTCCCCACACTTCTAATCTCTTTCCTAACCCTCTCCATATTCCCTGCCACTCTACATTCACTGGTTTCAGGGAAAGCTTTCTCCACATAATGTGAAATATTATTGCAGAGAAAACATTCAGAGATAGTGACAGCACAGTACCCAAGCTTGCACCCTGAACATGCATAAGGAACTGAGAAGAGCACCTGGAAACCAGTCCAATCATCATACTGTCTGTTAGATTAGCCGGGATGTAGAGGAGCTAGAGAGTATCCAAAATGTGAGTCAAACCATGATAGTGCAAGGAAAAGCACGTGCTTTTCTCCGCGGTGAGCTGAGATAGCTGAGCCGGGGCCAGAGGGAGACAGGCAGACACTCCAGCCCTGTCCAGAGCTCCATCCCACTTCCTCTTCCTGCCAGGTCCTCAGGGGATGCTGCCCTCTCCCCTCCCATCAGGATACACAAAGCGCCCATAAAAGGCAGTAAATGGAACCAGAACATTAACTCGTTAACTCCCACTGGTCCACATGATGTTCTGATGGGGAATACTAACAACAACAAAAAAATTAATCTCAAAACCACAACACAACTGCACCACTCAGCTTAGTGTTATCTGTGTACTTGCTGAGTGTGTACTCAATCCCAATGTCTATGTCATTGCAGAAGACATTAAAGTGTACTGGTCCTGAAAGAGACCCCTAGGGGACACCACTCATCACTGGCCTCCACGTGGACACAGAGTAGCTGATCACAACCACATCACTTTTGTGATTTCTTTATGTCCTATCAGATGTGATCAGAAAAAAACCCTCACACTCAAAGCCCATTCTTGCATTATCTATAACTTATTCATGCAAGGAGTCCATATCACATAAATATGGTGTTGCAGCTGGAAAGATTACCATGGTGAAAATCGGAAAAGAAACAAACAGAGAAGGAGTGCTCACTTGTATCCAAAGATCTAAGTTCACAGGAAAAACTCCACAAAGGAACAATCTCCAGAGATCCTTTCTCAGTGGCAGTCAGCCCTTAAATGGGCTCTAGGAGAGCTACAGCCAGGCTCCACCCCTTCTGGTCACACAAACTGATTCCCCTTAACTTGTGCTCCAACGGCTGACTCAGTCCTTGCCTCAGGTGATCAATCAGTGGTTCAGGCCATGACTCAACAGTTACCATACAATAGCAAAGATACCTGAAGTAGAACTTCAGTATAGTTACAAAACCTAAATCAAACCATTTTTTTTTTCCAGAGCCTCTCTTCCATATGCTATACCACTTTTAAAATACTCGATAACTGTCTTGCAACAAATAATGAGACGAGCATTAAAATATTTACCATTCCTCCTAGGTCAGGGTAGTGACGTGTCAGTCTTTGTGACTGTGGTGGTTTTTCACCAGCACCATCACAGTGCTCTCTCACTCCTCCTCAAATAGATAGGTGAAGAAAATAGGATGAAAAAAAACTCATGGACCCAGATAAGAAGTGGGAGATCACTCACCACTTACCATAATGGGCAAAATAGAATTGGTGTGAGGGAAATTAATATAGCTTATTGCCTACTAATAACAAAAGTAGGGCAGTGAAAAACCAAAAGCAGATTAGAAACAGCTTCCTCACACCTCCTCCCCACAGGTGTCACAGGACATGGAGAATGGGAGCTGAGGTCAGTCCATAACACTTTGTTTCTATTCCTCCTTCGGTGTCACACTCTCCCTCTGCACAAATGACACATGCTGTGATTTCTGAACTGACCTTGTGTGAGTTTCCCCTACGCTGCAGCTCCACAAGGCTCCTCTCCTCAAGCTGCAGCTCTGGCTCGGGGCTGCTCCTGCAGGGTCTCTCCATAAGCTGTAGCTTCCTTTTGGAGCAGCTGGAGCTGACCCTGTTCTGATATGGAGCAGCTGCTGGGCTCTGCTCACAGAGACCACCCTTGTGGGCACCGTTACCAAATTCTCACCACATGAGCCTAGTACGTTCTGGAATACTTAATTTGTTCCACTATGCAGCCTCTGCCAGCCAAACCTCCAAGGCTGGCTGGACAAGAGCTGCACGGTAAACAGCCCTGAAACAATCTGTACACAAAATAAGTGTTGCTGTGGCAAAGGCATTTTGCAAGTGTGCTCACTGGACTGATGAAGGACTTTTGAATTATGGTTTCTTTTCAGCGATGTCTTTTCCTTGTGTTTGTTCAGATTTCTTCAGGAGAAACGAAGTCCCTCCTATCCCCACTTCACTGTTTCCTTTATGTTCCTACTGAGAAGATCTGATTCTGTGTTAGAAAGCTCAATTAAAAAACAAACAGAAAGTGGAGTTCCCAGAGCACGTGCTTTCCTCTGACTGAGTGTCTGGGATGTCTCGCACTGCAGTGGAAGAGGCAGAAGAAATACTATTTCTGTTTTCTTCCTCAAGCTTTCCACAGATGTCACTCATGTCAAAACTAGCATGCCTACTCCCCCAGAGAATTTTGTCTGGAGAAAACTGGTATTTTACTTCAGAAAGTTTTACTGTTACTTTGGCAAAAGGATAAAAGCATTCTCAATTGTATGGGTTCTTTTTTGTTTGTTTTTTGTCGTTCTTTTTTTTTTGTAGATTTACCAAATATTAGTACTCAAAATATTTGAATGTCTGAGATTACAGTGCTACATATTCAAGTAGCTGGTATCCAGTTCTTAATTATAATATCTGAGCTAGAGACAGGTATGACATAATTCCAGATTCCATAGCTGGATACTCCTTAGAGGAACCAGAAGATGTGAAGATAAATCTTTTTTCTAGAACATTCATCTTGCAGTCAAGTTTTATTATTGATTTCAATGACACCATTATTTATGGCAACACTATTACTTTTAAATTCCTATCCCCAGTTTCAAAATCACCAACTCTACTTGCCCTTAATTGGCTTCTTTGCACAATACTTTCTTTTTCTTAGTCCTTTCCCCCTTTTCTGCTAGTTTTGGGTATTAAGACATGTGAACACTAGTATTCATTCCTCTAGTATTTATTTCCTTAGGAAAAATATCATGAGAGCTAGAAAAAACATTTTCTTTTCAGAAATGACCATTCTTTTCTTCTTTCTCTTCTTTTTTTTTTTTTTTCTTTTCAGAGTGTGTAGTTTTAAAATGTAGGCTGCCATTGCTTTTACTGTAACAGCTGTCTGAGAGTACTAAACAGATGTATGAAGACTACACAGCAATGCCAAGACTCAGACAAGAGCTTTTGGCATGATTATACTCAGATATTGATTCTAATGGGCCAAAACCAAGATGTTTTAAGTCTTGGCACAGGTAAGACAATTTATATCTCACACAGGTATAAAACCTCCTGAAAAGCAGTAAATTATAGGTAGCTTTCTTGGAAAGGGAGGTGAACTCTGTTTTCCTTGAGCCATATCCACAGGTGCAGAAGTACCACCCAGGCCACTATGCTGAGCACTGCACAGACAGAGGGAATTAGTTCCCATTCAGCAGAGTTCAGAGGCAAAAAAAAGGCAAAGAATACACCAAAGCTTAAAAGAGATCATCCTCTGAAGTCATTTTTAGTACTCTCAAATGAAACTCACTACCTCAAACTCCCTCACTGTCCTGCTCCAGCCAAAGCTGAGTGCACCCAGCTCCTCTAATAGTACTAGAAGGGAGGGTGATGTTAACAGGGATAAACAGAGAATCATAAAGACCACTTTTAATTATGAATTAGACCACTCTGATGACTCAAAGAAATTCCAGGATGTTCTCTTTGCTTCTGGGATTTTTTCTGTATTTTCTACTCAATAGTAATTCCTGAGGGTTCAATAGGCATACAGATACCGAGTGTGCAGCCTGTGCAGATAACCTGTGGTCCACAGGCTGTGAGAATTCACCCTGCACAAGTCATGGAACATGGCAAAAAACATGAATGGGGACATACTTTATTTCACATACCAGAGTATTAAACCATCTGATTAAAACATAGGTAATGCTGGGGGATAAATTAATCATGTCCCTTCTACTATCTGGGCAGTGCTCTATTGAAAGAGAACATTACTATCTCCATGATTTTAAAAGATGAGAGTTTTGAGGGTGTCTGATACTAGCAAATGTGCTTTGAGAATATCTGCAGATAAATAAAATGCATGGAGTGTTTCTTAAATCTTCATTTTACTGATGTGGGAGATAAGAACTGAGTTGCTTAGGCCAGGCAAAACACTTTGAAGACTTCAAAGTCAAAGGAGGAGATAGCCTTAAAATAGCCTTAAGACCTCTAGGACCATTCATCAGTTACGTAATTAAACAAAACATTTTTTAGTTAACAATTTCAGGCTTTGGCATATCAAACCTATCTAGGTATTAGGTGTCTTTATCCACTGTCTTTATGGAAAGAAGTGTGTCTCTGCTGTTAAGCTGGGGTAAAGAAAAATGAGGTGATCTGGTGCAACAGAAGGGAGAAAAGAAGGCTACATTTCTCTCTTGCAGTCTGATACTTATTTGACTGGAAGCTAGAACTGTCTCCTAGGGTATCAGTAGTTACTGTGAACAACAAGCAACCATGATCCTAAAGCAAAAACAACAAGGAAAACTGGTATATTTTATCCTAAATAATAGGATTTTTAAAATATCAAGAGAAGAAAGTGTGTAAGTGACTCATACAGGTTTAAGGAGATACACACTGAACATGTAAAACTTCCAACATGACACGCATCTCCATATCAACGAGAAATACAGAGAGCTGTCCTACTGAATAAAAGCAAGGACCGTTTGCAGTTGACCACATTTTCATAAGCTAGTGAGACTCTACAAAGTAAAAGAGACTGTCTTGTCAAACTCAGAGACATTTATTACAAGAGGAAAAAGACTAGAAGACAATATTAACGTACTTGTCACTTTGCTTCAAGCAAAGACTGAGTGTTCTGTAAGAACCTACATAGATACAGCAGAATACAGTACAACAGTGAAACAGTTCTTGTGATGCTCTTCCTACTTATAAATATCAGTAGTCTTGATGCCATCTACTATGTATATGCATGAATGAATTTTTCCCCTGTAGAGCTATGCCCAAGATTTACAAAAGAAAGTATCCATTACACATTGAGAAAATGGGCCTGATGAATCACAAAATCCCACATAATTTAGTACATCACCTCTCAATACAGCTTTTCAGTCTAATTTAAAGCATTATTGAAGATAACACATTCATTAAAACAGCTGTCAGCAAACTGCTCGTTTTGATAGTTTCATGGAAGTACCAGTCAAAGAGAAATAAAACGCCACATGCTAATGATATGCAAAAAGGACAAAAAACAATTCAGTTTTGATACATCACTATTGAGATGTTAATTTCATTTTTTTAATGAGTACTGCTATCTGTGCTTTTATATGGTAAATATCACACATCACAAAACCAGTGTTTCTTTTCAGGAAAATTACAACATATGATAATTAAAAAAAAATAAAATAAAATCAATCCACATTGCAAAATAGCCAGCGCTGTTCAGCAAGGATGAATTAATGAGCACAGAATTATTATTTATTGTTTCTGTATTGCTACTTCTCTGTCAGTGAGCATTTAAGCACCAGATATTTGGATCCAGAGTTTTCTCCTGGTTTCTCAAACACTAGAATGTACTGGATACTAATGTGTTGTCTCAGGTGAATATCCAGCAACTTCCATTGTAATTCAGCCTTAGGAATAACTGTTGGTCTCTGAACAGGACCAAATTTGTCACCCAATATTAAAACTCCTCTATGGATTTTCTCCACCAGTTTTGCAAGTCTCATTACACCAGTAAAGCACAGGTTAATATTGATAATAATTTAACTAAAGCATGTCATCAGCAATGGGCACACAACAGAAAAAGAAATAATAGAGAACAGATAATAGATTTTCTAAAGCTACTGCCATTAATTCATAATCATTTTTCATAAAAATAATTAAACAAATTATCTACTGTTACATGACTCTTTTTCATACAACAGTATGTACACTCTTTACACTAGGCCAAACAGACTGCATCATATTCAGTTAAAGGCCCAACAGTTTAAATCATACAGAAATTCTTACCTCCTGTCTCTACTAGAGCAAGTGCAAACAAGGAGAGGAAATTTGCTAGTGACAGACATTCAACAGTCTAACATTAATCTATGGATTTGGCACTTTTCAGTTTTCTAAGCTCTGGTCAGGTCCAGCAGCTTCCAAGCACTCAACTCTGTCACAATCATACCTAAGAAGTCCTCTTCAGCAGAGGGGTAAGGGAGGAAAATCAGTTCTGAATATTGTGATCTAAAACACCTCAAAGCATAGAAGAGCAGTTGATGTCTTTGTTTTTCCAGTAAACCACTGAAATAATTATTTTAGGCAATTAAGGCACATAACAATTAAGTGTTGCAGAAACATAACAGAGAATGAAGTCATTTCAGTTTCTGTACTTCAACAGATATACACCGTCCAAAAATAAAAAGCTTTTAATGTAGGCTCAAGAGAAGGAGGTCATCTGTCATGATGTCAGTGTCTAGAGATAGAAACTATTTACCCCAGGTTCCTTTGTAAGCAGTGGAAAGTAAAACATCTGTTCGTAACATGGCTAACCTCATCATAAAATAGATGCTTTCAATCTGACCAACCACTTCCTAAAATTATCTACTTCCTCACCAAAGATGTTTACATTTAGAAGAGATTAATCCATCCCAGATATTTAGACAGGCAGCTTAATAGAGTAAGAAAGACAAATACAACATAATGTCTGGCAAAGTACGTATTCTGTGACTTCATGGCAACTATGAAGTATGCACTTCTTAAAAAAAAATTCAACTGGTAATAAAATTGTTACCAGGATTAAAGACATGGAGTGGGATACTACTGTGATAACTAACAGTTTTTTTGTTTATAATGCCTCTGCCATTAATAAAGAGAGATGTATTCTCCAAGTATCCTTGTTCTATCTTAAAATTATCATTTAAGTTATCTGGGAAGAATCTTCCTCTGGAGATTCATATCTGTCTTCAAAGCATGAAGAAGAACCCACCTCACTCTATATGAAACTAGTAGTTTAAACTGACTAACTTGACTTCTAGATGGCTAGTTATAGATGAGATTAATACCTTTCATGCTTGACAAAGGTAACAGTTTCTTATTTGTTGCAATAAAAAGAATAAACGGCTTTCAGAACTGATGTGTAAGTATGTCCTACTCAGAAGTATGTCCTATTCAGAACATTTCAATAAATTATCATTAGTTTTACATACAGTTTAGCAGTTTCACAGATCTGATGAATATACTGAACAATAGATATCTTGTTTTGCTTTCTGGAATGTGTGTATGAAAAGGCATCTCAATCCTGATGGAATTCATTCCTGTGAGAATCATGCAGTAGGGCATTTATTTCTAGAAATAAAAATTGATTGTGTTCCTCAGTGTTTGAAGTAACAGGTCAATACACTTATTTAAACACAAGTGGAACTTCTTTGTCTTACTTTCTGTATGTCAAAATTAGTAGATCCATTTTTCTGCAAGAGAGAAAAAAATGATTAGAGATGCCAAACAGTCTCTAAATGTCATACAAGTAAAACTTTAGGTCTTCTTTTTTTTCTTAGAAAATCAATTGGAGTCTGGTTATCACTTCTTTTCACTTGCTGAAATACGGTATATACATTTATAACACAATATGCATACTTCTGGTATTTCTTTCTACAGTTTTATAACAGTCACAATGCCTTATTTTTTAAATATGATTAATTGTAAAATTCACTCTTCCCATCAAATTTTGCAATGGCTTAACAACACTGTTCTTTAACAACACAAATTGATTAATTTCAGTTTACGTGATCTTATCTCAAAAAAGTCCATAGGGCAACACTAGCTTATTACACCATTTCATCTAGGTTTAAGTTTGTCTTTATTTGGTATAGAAGTACTGTTTTATAGTATTATGAATTAATAATTGCCATGAACAAAGAAGACTTAAAGTCTAACAACTTCTAGAGAAGTTAATGAAATAAAAGCTTTGTTCTTTACCACCTTGCATATTTGTTTACTCATTATCCTCCTCACAAAGTAAAGAATGTCAGTCAGTATAATATTTTCATTATAATTTAATAGATTTTTTAATTTCTCTTTTTTGTGGGCATACTTTGAAAAGGTTTGCATACACTGATATAATCAAAAGCAACAGCCTTGTTGTAATATACTGAAGTTTTCTGAATGTTCCTTACGTTTTTTTCCTTTGTTCAATATACTACATCTTGCATCTTACCCTTAATTTTGGAGTAGCAAGGCTCACAATGCACAGTTTGTCTGTAAATCCAAACACTGTCTCCTGCTTTCAGATCTTCCAGTGGTCTTTTGCATACTTCACACTTCAAAGTGCAAGTAAAAGTAAAAACAAAAAATAAAATAAAGCCCTTCGCTACTATTCATTTCCAGCATACTCTTTCATAAAGCAAACATACCCAGACCAGAACAGCATTTGTGAGTACTGTAGTATCATGAAATATTAACTTAAAAAAAAAAAAAAAAAAGTATTTACATGAAATAAACTGTAAATCTAAAAATAAAATTTTCAGACCTCTAAAAGTCAGATATCTGAATCTTGGCTGGTTCCCTAGGTTCTATTTATCATCACTAACTTCTCTCCTCCCCCAGACTTTCCAGAGGGTAATTTCTATCTTAACTTAAAATTTGATTCTAAAACAAGATGATTCACCATTTCAAGATCAACTTCTGTTTTCACTGAGTAAAGGAAACACAATAAGACTTAAACATCCAACTCAGAGTAGAACTCAAGGAATCTGAACTTTCTCTTTCAAACCTTTTATAATACTTTACCTTAACCATTATATATATTTCCCATTATTGAAGAATCCAGAGACTTCTTTAACAAATATAAGAAAAAGCTAATTTCTGAGATACAGAAGTATTTTCCTTGTTTCATGTATTAAACTGCACAGATAAACACAAAGACTGACTTCCCAAAGTCACAAGGAGAGCATACATTGAGTGTAGCAAGAAATACTGTCATTCTATCTACAGAACAGAATTTTGATCCCCAGACCAGACTTAGTTGTTTAATTTTCTGCAAATACTTTCATAAATGTGTAGTTACAGAAAACTTAAGCTGACTTTTGCTGGGCAAACACATTGCCAATTGGGAATATGTATCAAAAAGGTTATCACCTAATCAGTAAGCTTAAATATTTAAAAAATAATTCAGTCGATAACAACAGAAGAAGTTATTAATCCTAACTGCATTCAAAAATAATTCCTCTTTATGTGGGTTCATCCATCTAAAAAGAATGGAAGCAAACCAGAGTTTGTATTTGTAATAACAATTTTGAGAAACTATTACATAGTGATTGCCGGAGATGAAATTGCATTGCTAGTGCTCACTATTCAGGTTTGGGTGACTTTTCATGCAACAGCTGGATAAAGGAATAGCTCTGAGAAACAGAAACTGTGGTAGACTGGGCAGAAAGTGATCTATGCTAACGAGTAATTTTTGTTACAACAACAAATCATATGTGGAGATGCAAGCAGAATTAAGATTATTTTATTATACAACAGGAACTCTCCATAGCAACAAAATTTTAGCTGATATTTTGATCCTAATGGGAAAGTGATTTCAACTCTGTTACTTATGTAAATTCTTCTTACTAGTGCCTTTGAGTATGTCTTTAACCAAGAAAATTCACAAAACTTCATAGAAAAGAAGTAGAATAAGATTTTACAGTATGATTAAACTGTAAATAGGATATAATTCAGTGTATCAGTCTGGAAGTCTGTATAACTGAAGGCTTATAAATATGAATGACATTCAGGATATGTCCTGCTGTATCCTTTATCCTTCTGGTGGTTGCAAGAGAAAGAAAGGAGAGGCAAGGAGAGGGAGAGGGAAAAGATTGGGGAGGAAAGAGAAAGACTAGAGACGAGTACTTCCTAGATTAATCTTCTCCTTTAGTGTGCAAGCCTTCCTCATTTCCCAGGCCTAAGGCCGAAATATTCACTCATTAGATGTGTAATATAATGTAGGTATTACATTTAAATTTTATTTCATAGTAATAGGTGAAATCTTCTTACCTTGAAGCAAGTTGAATGACAGCAAATTTGCAAGGCATCTAAGATCATTTTGGCCTCTATGCCCAAAGGCTTCCTGCAGTATGTACATATATCTTTCCCAATTATACTCCTGTGTATATAATACAACATCAGCTGTCAGAAAAAGAGCAATCTCAAGGAGAAAATCTTAGTGCATTGTGTGTATTTTAAAGGCAGCTATATAGGACATATATATAAGACATCTCACCTACTATTTATAACAACATCAATGTTTTTAAATATTTTCTCCATTTTTTTTGCATCCTTGTAAGTCATCAGTCTATGTATTATCTAGGTGCAACTGTTAGTGCTGCTTTTGTATTATAAAATTAACTGGTCCTTCTCCTTTCCAGTCAATGATAAAACATTGTACTCATTTCTTAATCATCCCCAGAGTTTCTTATACTTACGTTGAAAAGGATACAATGATGTATGTATTTATGATTCTATGTATTTCCAAGTAATGGAAATATCCAAATTATCTGAACTGAAAACAGTGTGCACTTTTTTTTTTTTTTTTTTTTTCTTCCCAAGAGATATTACTGATTTGAACAAATATTCTTCTATGCTTGGGAAAATATTTACTGGTGTGAAAACATGAAATTTTTAATCAGCATTATCATGTGAACGTATTCTCCCACATCTGGACCTAAACTTGGTCACATAAACACTGTTTTCAAAAAGGAATGAAATTTTGCAGGGAAAGTAGCCAGCAGTTAGAAACCTACAGAATCACAAATCCAACTCTACCACTTAAGGCCCTCGCTATTGTTTCTAGATGTTTTATATGCCAGCTCCAACAAGCCTACATAATATTAGGCTGCCAAACCGTAGTAATGATTTGAAGACAAGATCCCACTGAAAGGGAGTGCTGTATGAAAAGCTGTATGACTAGCCTAATGATGACTTCCACTACTCTCTTTTGTTTGAACATCTGAAAAGCTTACGTAAAACATCTGTGCCCTTTGATACTGCATAATATTATTAATGTGTACTTACTGATCAGAAGTAGAGTAAACAGTTTTGATTGTATTTCCAGTTATATTTTCATCATAAGTATGACGTGATGAATTTCTGCAAGGCAGTAAATACATAAAAATTATGAAAAGCTACTTTTTATTGTAAAAGGCTTCACTACACTGATCATATGGAAATTAAACAAATGTAACACTGTTTTTTAAAAAAAGCCCATTTAGTTATGAGTTCTTTTTTTGCTTTCATCAAGAAACATATAATAAATAAGAAAGTGTAACTTGGATAAAGTATCCCTACACTGTGTTCACGTGCTGTATGATCCTTTAGTATTTCGAAATGAACTCCACAAGGCTACTGAGTGAAATCTACACTATAATACTGGCTTCGCCTGTGCTCATATCTCAGCCTATATTATACTTACTATGAAATGGTGACATTCTGCATTTTTGCAATTTTTGTCTTCTTTCACTAGTCCTCTGTCCAACTGTCAAATAGCCAAACAAAATTACAATAAGTCCCTAGAAGTAGATTAAGGGTCCTTGTAATAGAGGCTGTTTCATGTATGATTTGCATTGCCTGCCATAACTGAATTTAGCTGCCAGAGCAGTTAATTTTTCCTTTTTTTTCCTGGTTACTTAACTGTCAGTTTTGTTTGGCATGGAAGGGATGAGCAACTATATGACAGCTGAACAAGCCATCTTGTCATACATGCTTTGAACATTTCTGAACTGATTTAATTACCCTCATTCTTCCAGAAATTCATAAGGTATATGGAAATTCATGGAATCATAAAATCACCAAGGTTGGAAAAGAATTCTAAGATCATCCAGTCCAACCATCCCTGTATCACCAGTATTTCCCACTAAACCACGTCCCTCTGTACTACATCTAAACATTTTATGAACATCTCCAGGGATGGTGACTCAACCACTTCCCTGGGCAGCCCATTTCAGAGCCTGACTACTCTTTTGGAGAGAACGTTTCTCCTAACATCCAACCTGAATCTACCCTGGTGCAACCTGAGGCCATTCCTTCTAGTGCTATCGCCAGTTACATGTGAGAAGAGGTCAACCCCCACCCCGCCACAGCCTCCCTTCAGGTAGTTGTGGAGAGCAATAAGGTCTCCCCTGAGCCTCCTCTTCTCCAGACTGAACAATCTCAGCTCCATCAGCCACTCCTCCTAAAACCTGCGCTCCAGACCCCTCACCAGCTTCATTGCCCTTCTCTGGATACACACCAGGCCTTGAAATCTTTCTTGTAGAGAGGGGCCCAAAACTGAACACAGTACTCAAGGTGCAGCAATTTAATGTAGTTACAACAATAATGATAAATTAACATAATTATTATGTTTCATATCAATCTTGCATACTATTCAGTAATGCTGTGATTTTTTTTATACTTATGTGTGCTTGCAGAATGTCTTTTCAGGTCAAGTGTAACAGACTGACAACATGCATGTGTGGGGTATCATACAGCCCAGATATAGGCTTTACACTTACCTGTCTTTTTAGTGCATTTGTTTTATTTTATACTATGCAACACCAGAAATCTATTAAAATTGCACAGATAGTGAGAAATGTAAATGATAAATATTTTATATTTTACAGAACATAATAATATTCTTGCCATTTAATAATAATACAAGCCTGGATTTGCTTGTCACAAAATACTTCCTCAGATAAACATGCAATGATTTCCTCTTACCAAGAGACATGGTTTTTAGCCAGTTCTATTACATATCCCTATAACGCATTTTTTTTCCCACTCAGAATTGAATGCTTTGAGTGACAGAGTCCAAATAGAGAAGGAGAAATGGTTTTAAAAATAATTTATACCTGATTAAAAAGTCAGAAACCCAGGTCACAGCAATAATGTTTGGGTTAAGAGATGACACAAGGGCTCAGATTCATCCCATGCAGCTTTAGGAACTTCAGAAGCCAACTCAGTGAATAATGTAATTTTTTCCTTACAGCCTTGGAAAGAAATAAGCTCTCCTATAGCATGGTGCATCTAGCATTCAAGTAACATGCTGGAATACCTTTGCTCTATTGTTTACGTAAGAATTTTGGCTTAACAACTCTCCTAAATTTCATGCCTCAGTCACATCTCTAGAGCTACACAAGGTAAACCTAGTCTTGCCCACTCTGTGCACTGAAGGTTTGCTTTGTGGGCTTCTACTTGGGCAAGAAAAATTTGAAAGGCGGCTGACATTATATCAGAGACCAGTGTGAGGTTTTCAAATATCCCTGAAATTTCTTGCATAAAGATGGTTTCTCTTTTTTTTTTTTTTTTGTTTTCTTTTTTGCAAGAAATAGCACTTTAAATGTAACGATTCTCAATTAATTGTCCACTGTACCTGCTCTTTCTTCTGCTGTCACTGTGGTAGGTTACTTCTGGGACATTATTTGAAGCACTTAGAGGATTTTCATATATTTGCTTAGTTAGGCTAAAAAAAAAAAAAAAAAAAAAAAAGTAACAAGAAAGCAGTATTTATAAAAGTCCTTTTCAGCTACACAGCCTTCACTTACACTTATGCCCATAAATGGAGAAGTTTATGTTAGTGACAGCAGCTAAAGAAATCTATTGTTTTCCTACTGTTGTTAAATTGTTGCTTGTGGAAAACAACAGAAACACAGATCTGTAATTTTAAGCCCTCAGTTTATGCTAGTAAATAAATACATATCAGAAACTTCACCTAACTTAACTGAACCTTAGTTTCCTCAAAGTACCCACTGAGATTTTCAGCTGTACAGTAGAGTTTCAATGGTTGATAATATTCTGCATGTTCTTAGCAATATTCCACAATATTTTATTCTTGCTTTTACTGTACTTTAGTTCCAGCTCAGAAATTTAATATTTTATTTGTATATATATACATACATACATATAAATACTTGACTAATGTTTTCATCAGTAATCATGAGCTAAACAGATACACAGACTCGTATTTCAAGAAGCAGGATTATGATTCAAGCAGAACAAACCTTGTCTTCTGCAATTTTCCATTCAGTAAAGATAATATGCCACCAAACAGGAATAAACCTTGTCAGATAAATTATAGGATTTAAGTAATAAGTGCTAATAATTTTCTTGACAATTTTACAAAGCAGCTCAGACAAAGGCTACTCTTGTTTAGTTTGTCAAATGTTATATTCTGAAACAATTTGATGATTATAAGCCTTAACTCTGGATGTTTGGTCTGCATTTTGATTTATTTCAGTGAATTTGCCAAGGTCTAAAGCTTTGCTAAATGAACCTCATTCAGTGCTGGTCGCTGTTTTATATGCACAGCATGCTGTATGAAGCAGCACCCTCTATTGTGCTTTAGTATTAATCTGGCAGGCTTCTTTTCAGAACTAAAAGAGAAACTCATTCACTTTACATATTCAGTGTTATGTTCCTCTAGTCTGTCAACTGGAACTGCTAGGATAAAAATACGTATATTAAAAAAAAAGCAGAAGTACTTCTGTATTCAGATAGCTAAGTTTTTCCTCATCATTTATATATACAACTAAATGGAAGACTACAAAAATACCACATGAATGGTACCTGATAACATAATGCTTCCTTCACATTAGTTGACAAGCTAGCATCAGTGATTTTTTTAAGCTATGAATACGTTTGCTTATGTTGCTTTGCTAATACATGCAGTTATGCTGCTATATTTAATTAATTTGGCACATTTTATGAATAATATTCATATCTTACACAAGTTACGCACATTCAGCTTATTTACATTAGGTATTAGTATTTTCAGACACCGCGCTGAACAACTACAGCTCTTGCTATGTGGTCTTTAAATTTTAGAGAGAACTATGAACTGGGTCTCACCTTTTTCTACTTTGGTCATCAGGAGACTTCACTTCCATATGATCACCAAGGTCCTCATCTCTGTGAAAGTTAGAAACACCTCAGAATTAATCAAGTTATTTGATTAATTTTAAGCATATTACTTGCATTGAATTTTGTATGTTGAAGAAGAAAAAAAAGTGTATACATTTAACAAGGGAAGTTCCTGATTATACTGAGTGTATACTACAATTTCTACAAATCTTTAGTAACGAATCAAAAGTTATCAGTTCTAACTACAGTATTTTTCTGTTTCTCTCCGCTGTGTCACTACAGAGATATGATATGCTACTCAAAAAATCACATACAGAATCACAGGAAGGCTAAGGCTGGCAGGGCCATCTGGTCCTACCCCCTACTCAAGAAGGGCCACCCAGTGTAAGGTGCCCAGGCCCAGATCCAGATGGCTTTTGAAGATATCCAAGGAGGAGACCCCACAATAAGCTTCTCCATTTCTGGGCATCCCTCTCTGAGAAACCTGTGCCAGTGCTCCATCACCCAAATGGCACAAAATTGCTTCCTGGTATTCAGATGAAATCTCTTGTGTCACAGTTAGCACCCACTGCATCTTCTCATTGCACCACTGAAAAGAGCCTGGCTCTGCCTTCTCTGCATCCTCCTCTCAGGTATATTTAAAGTAGTTGATACGGTCTCCCAAGACTCCTCTTCCCCAGGCTGAACAGTCCCAGCTCTCTCAGCCTCTCTCCAGAGGATAAATGCTTCAATCTCTTGATCATCTTGGTAATCCTCTGTTGGACTATTTGCAGTATGTCTGTGTCTCTCCCGCATCATAGGACTGTATGATAAGTCAGGTTGGAAGGGTCCTTTGGAGGTCTCTAAACCTCTGAGGTCTGACCAGCTCACTCAGGACTTTTTGCATTTGACCCCTGAAAACCTCCAAGGACAGAAGTAGCATAGCCTCTTTACCCAATCTCCTCCACTGCTGAACCTCTTCCTTATATAATATCTGAATCTCTCATTTTTATTTATGACCCTTACATCTCATCATCTTGCCATGCTACAGCTGAAGAGTCTGTTTACATCTTCTAAGAAGACTATATAATTATGTCATTTTAGCTTGGTAATATGATTATACTTAGTACAGGCACCAGCATGATGGTTGCCAAAACGTGTTATTTGCTTTGCAGTTATATCCAGCACTGTTGTCTTACTATAGTTTAAGTCTCTAGGACCTTATGAAAACATTCGTACTAGTAACTACTAACTCATTGGCTGTGAAACAGCTGATGTGATAACAACATTTCATATTAAGTGGTCTGTAATCAAAAAACATGGTCACACACTGTTTAAGTTCGTATAAGATAAAATCAAGAACTAAGTTTTTTCCACACTGAATTATTTATATTTACCATCCCATATTTAATGAGGAATTTTAAGTAATTAGTTCAAATTCAAGTGTTAATTTTGACTTCTATCATTACCTTTACAGAAGAGAGCCTATTAGTATAATTATCTAACCAAAGAGATTTTAGAAGTATGTAAGGGAAAGATGACAGTCTTGCCTCTTATTTTTCTGAGAAGCAGCATTTATTTCAGTAAAATCCTCAAGATCTTTTACTCTGAAACAACAAACAAATACAACTGTTAGAATATTCTCTCTAGCTGGAAAGAGGTAAAGCATAATAATTTCTTTAAACTGACTTTATATTGGTTCACCTAACTAGAGGAAATGATGAGCTATGAAAAGCACTGTAACACTGCAGTAAATCCTAACTTTTTTTAGGTAGAGGAAGAGAGCAAAAGAAAAAGGTGCTTTAGCTCTTTGAAGCTGATAACTGAGTTGGACACTTTAATCCAGAATGAACTTATTGATTTTACAGCTCTGGATGTCTTCCAGAATTAAGCAGTGCTTCAATGTCTTGACTCTGTCCTAATACATTCTCTGTAAATTAATATTTGCAAAAAAGAAAAAAAAAAGTCATATTCAACCTACAGTTTAGTACTAAACTGTATACAAATTATACAAATTTATATGTATGTCTACATATAGACAAGATTGTCTATTATAAAATGGATGATTACATCTTGGCAACATTTATGTGCTCTTTCTTGAAGTTATCGCACAATTCTAGTGTAAGATGTGAAAAAGGCTACATAGCACTTAATAGCACAGTACATTATATAGCTCTTCTAGCACTAGCAGTTCTCTTTCTGTATGTCGAAGGACTGATTACAGACAAGAAGAAAATTGGCCTGAAACAAAGTGAACTGACACGCCATTTGAAATTGTAGGTTCAAGCTGCTATTCATGGCTCACTTCCCTTGGCTGACTGAAATGCTTTGTTACATGCAATACTTATAATCCGTGATTTATACAATATTTTGTTCAATGCACCAATGCACCTTCCCTAACTATATTAATATATTTCTGTAATAGATTATTGAGAAAGCACGTTGGGTATGTATGGAAGCTTGCCATACATAACATTTGCTCAGCTGACAGTGCATGCACCAATTAATTCATCTGCATTTTTATGTTTATATTAATGTCATCCTGTATAAAGAATGCCACTTACTGATCTAGAAACATTTTAGAGATTAGCAACATTACCTTTACTGACATTCATGTTATTACAAACTAGTACTGCCTTAGAAAAGCAGGACCTGAAAAGCTTTGAAGACTTACTCCTTGTTGCTTGTGAAAGACTGTGGATTCACTTTGATGAGGTCATCAGGGTCTTGATTCCTTTACAGACAGAACAAAAAAAAAAAAATCAAATCAAAATGTATATATCCTGCTACCAATTGGCCAATACATATCACTTAAACTGAAATTATAATTCACATTCTTAATGAAAGTTGAAATTAAATTGATAAACAGTTCAAAGCACACACCACTTTTGTAATTCAGATAAATTCATAGATTCAGCCATATGTACAGGAGCACACACTCCTGCTAGAATAAAATCACCAGATTAGGTTTTGTAAAAAAGTTATAAATTTATAATTTTTATAATTTTATAATTTTCCTGCTGAGCACATCACAGGCTGCTTCAGAAAGTGTCTATCCTTTAACTTGTTAAGACATAGCAAGTATCTTTACCAGAAATAAAATCAGTCAAATATTCCTGACACCTGCATGACTAATTCCTTACCTAAAAAAAAAATAAATTATAGACTAACCCTTTCAGGCCAAAACAGTCAGTTGGAACATTTAATAGTATCAAATCCAAAAATGGGGTGTTGCTTGAATGCTTTTATCTCTTTTCATAGGATTTAACCAGTGTCAATATGCCTCTGCAAAATACCTCACTTCCATGAAAAATTCATTTTTCCAGCTGAAAACTCCTGTACTGTAAAGCTTACAGCAACATTACCAAGAAATTACCACTAGTAAACTTAACTCATTACAACAATGAATAAATGACTAAAAAAAAAAGAAAAAAAAATTTCTTAAGTAGGCAATTTGGGAAAGAATGATGCTTATGATAGTATGACAGCGCTCCACTATTGATAACTTGGTAGCCAACTATATTCCATATGAGATTTCATTCCGCACAGTTCTGCCATGAAACAGAATCTTAGTGAAATGTAAAGACTCTGCAGGATATGCTCTGCATAGTATGGATAGCTGCAGGATAGTTTACTCTGCAGATCCTTGCAGGATAGTGTGCTTCTCTGTCTGATTTTCAAAGGAATATAGACAGCTGGGGAACTACATTCCAATTGGCTTTTCTAAGACTTAGCTCAGTTAAACAGATACACTTGACATTTTCTCTCAAAGTGTATATATACAAAATACTGTATTCATTTTTTTGCAATTTTCAATTTGGTATTTTTTAAATATTTCCTGGGGATTTTTCTTTTAAACAGACAAATCAATTGAAGACACCTTCCTATAAAAAAAAGCAAACGGACAAGATGTGCTCCAAAAGTCCAAAATGCTAGAACTTTTTGTATTAATCTTTGAAAGAAGTAATAAAATATCTAAATGGTTTTGTATCAAATGCTTCTTCGTGGAATTCATAATACTCTAGAGATTGATTGTAGAGCACTGCTCACATATTTGCTGTTCATCTAAATAGCGTTTTTCTGTCAACAGGGAACAAAGAAACTTCCTCAAGATAAAGATTCTGCCTTAAATGTCTGATCTTCCCGAATAACTCAATTTGCTTTACCTTAAATTGCTGTGTTTACTTTGCATAGCTTTTAGACATCAAAAACTATTAACTGCAATAGTTCACCATTTACGTACTGCATTTTTGTAAACAATGACAAAAGTAGATTTACAAGCCTATAATAATTTAAGAAGCATTACTTCAGAATCAGAATCACAGAACTGCAGGGGTTGAAAGGACTCTCAAGAGTTCATTGAGACCAATGCCCCTGCTAATGCAGGTTCTCTACAATACGTTGCGCACATAGGCATCCAGAAGGGTCTTGAATATCCAGAGAAGGAGACTCCACAACCTCTCCACTGCTCCATCATCCTTGTCATAAAGATCTTCTGCATGTTAGTATGGAACTGCCTATGCTCAAGTTTTAGGCCATTACTCCTAGCACTACACACCACCAAGAAGAGCCTGGCATCATCCATTTGCCTCCCACCTCCTTTTAGATATCTATTAACATTTATTAGATTCCCCTTCAGTCTTCTTTTTCCCAGGCTGAACAGACCCAAGTCACTCAGCCTTCCCTCACATGGGAGATGCTCCAGACTCTTTATCATCTCTGCTGCACTACTTCTAGGAGATCCCTGTCTTTTTTGAACTGGGGCTCAGAACTGGTCATAGTATTCTAAATGTGGCCACACCAGGGCAGAGTAGAGGGGGAAGATCACTTCCCTTTACTTGCTGGCCATGATCTTTTTAATGTATCCGAGGGTACCATTGGGGTAGAAAGGTTTTTACTGGCCATATCAAACCCTAATGCTGAGTTTGTTCCATTCTGTAGACTTCAAACCATCATGACTTTGCAGACAGCAGCATTTTTTACTTCTTCACACATTACTTTCAATACTTTGTGTATTAGAATGCACTGACTGACTAGTGAGGAAGACTTGCTGTCCAAAGGGATTGTAACAAAAGTAATGTCTAGGCTGTACTCACATGCCCTGACAACGAGCAGCCTGATTTACAGAAGAATAACACTGAAGAGTCCTAGAGAGGGGATTGAGAGTCCTAGCTGCAGCTTTCAGCACAAAAACACATGCTGACTGACCTGTTCAGCTATAGTTTATGGCTCCTATGGAACAAAGTATGTACAGAACATGACCCTCAGAAGATTTTAATTTATTGCACTGTTAAGATTTCACTAACTTTCAATTTTATGAAACAGCTGCTTGACAGGACTGCAGAAAGTAATCAGGGCTGACATCTTGCGAATTCCTTGCTTTGTAGTAGCTGGGAAGAGCAAAGGAGAAGTCACAGGAAAATATCACCCCAGACAAGTGGTTCCAGCACAGTTCAGATTACTAGCCACTGAAGTTAAAGAGTTCATAGAATCATACACTCATAGAATCACAAGGTTGGAAATGACTCACAAGAACATCCAGTCCAACCATCCTCTCATTACCATTGCTACCATGAGCTACTAACCCATATCTTGTAGCTCCTCATCCAGACGCCTCTTGAACAATGCCAGGGATGGCGACTCCCCCACCTTCGTGGGCAGGCCATTCCAGTGCCTGACCAACTCTTTGAGAGAAAAAGTTCTTCCTTATGTCTAACCTAAATCTCCTCTGGTACAACTTGTGGCCATTTCCTCTGGTCCTGTTTGTTGCCTGGGAGAAGAGGCCAAACCTCTGAGTGGTGCGGTCGACACGGTAGAAGGAAGGGATGCCATTCAGAGGGACCTCGAGAGACTAGAAAGGTGGGCCCGGGTGAACCTGATGAGGTTCAACACGGCAAAGTGCAGAGTTCTGCATTTGGACCAGAGGAATCCCAGGCATCCCTACAGACTGGAAGGAGCGGTCCTTGAGAGCAGCCCTGTGGAGAA